AATAACAATAATGTTTTTTTAATATCTGTTTCAGAAGTCATTTATGTCTGAACGCTCATTTGCGGTCTCGTTCTGTGCTCATCAGCTGGGCCTAAAATCTGTTCTCCTAACCACATATGTCATGCAATGTGGACCGCTTGCTTCAGTTTCCAACGCATTCTTTTGAAATGTTAGATGATGTGTCTTTAATGTGTATGGAAACTGGAAGGAGTTCAATCAAAACCTAGAAAGCCCTCATTAGCCGATGCCTGTGAAAGATTATGCATTCCCATAATCCTGTGCCGATCTATCACAGCACATGCAATTGGTGGTTCTATAAAAAGTAATGGAAATACAGTAGAGTTCCAACCCCCTTGACATTTGATGTACTGACATTCTATTGTTCGCTAAAAGGACATCCGGCGACTCCAATAACTACATGATGAAAGAAGTTTGGCTTGATCAACTTTTCAAACATACATTGAACATACTTTGAATAGAATGCATATTTGTTAGCTATAAAATAGATCTTACTGGTGTAATCAAACTGCTTTACCTGATCATGCGTGGCTGCATCCCTAGGACTCTGGAAAGCCATATTGTTTTCTTTACCTTTTCTTGTTCTTGACCACTAAAACCAAAGTACAAGAATCCTTCTGACAGAATTGTATGTGTGATTAAAGTATTAAAAGGAAACACTATTGTAATAGGCTACTGAAGTAACTTACTAGTGGAAACCACAATGAAAAGGATTACACAGCATTTCTGCATTAGTCGCACTTGATAACAGTTCACTGAAAGTTCTGTCAGTAAACAAACTAATAAAAATCGTGAAACCCTGAGGTAATTAGACCTATTCTGAGGAGTTACCTAGTATCTGAATGTGAATATAATACAATCTGACCATGAAATATCATTTACAAATTACCACACGTGCCAAACGAACATGCAACAGTTAAAATGTGAATTGATGACAAAAAGAAGCTATAATTGGCTTGATTTTTATATTTCGTTAGATCTTACCAGCTGATTTGTTTATGTTATGTATGCTTCTGCTTTTACGTCATCAAGATAAGATTCATATTCAACACATGTGAGAGTAATTCCCTGCACCCTTCATGTCAAGTGCACTTCGGAGTGAGTAGAGCACAGTGGTGTTCACTTTAAATGGAATTTGCCCAGAAAGAGTTAGAAATCTAACTTTTGAACACACCTGTGATCTATTATTAAATCTACAGCACTGCAGATGTATGTATGGCTTTGTACAAGGGAAAAACAAACTCTTCTACCACAGTTGAAGCACTTTTGTCAGGGCCCAAATTATGTTTGACATATATGAAATCTGATTTACATCTTAATAGTTTTTCAAAGAAACATGAAATTACACTCTTAAAAATGCTGGGTTAAATACAACCCAGTGCTGGGTAAAATAGGGACAAACCCAGCAATTGGGCTGTTTTGACCCAGCGGTTGGGTTAAATGTTTAACCCAACCTTCTAGGTAGTAGCCCAACCACTGGGTCAAAACAACCCAATTGCTGGGTTTGTCCCTATTTTACCCAGCACTGGGTTGTATTTAACCCAGCATTTTTTAGAGTGTAGTGTCCGATCTTTCATCGTTTGTTCACCATCGCTCGGGAAAACAATTTGAACATTCCAGTCTTATGAAGATCAGCTATCAGCCTAAGGGACGTTACTGTCAGTGCTTGAATAACAAAGTGGAAGTCTGACTCTCTTACATGACTTTTAATCATATCATGATTCAAACTGATCAGGATCAGTCATGATTTTGAAGAATGAGAGGTTTTATTCTGCTCAACCGTTAGAAGCCATATGTCTTTATTTGTACAGTTCTCTGTGATTGTGAACACACAAACAATCTGCTTTTTAATTTAATGAGAGAAATATTGCGGGGGTCGATCGGGTCAGCTGTGTGCGCATGCTTGTGGTTAAACCAGTGCAGACTTGCTTTACCCTGAAGGCAAACGTCCTTCTTCAAGTTCAAAATATAGACATGTGTTTTACAACATACTCTTAGAAGTGGTACACGTGTATGCGTAACAACAGCACTTTATGACGTTTGGTACAGCATCTGCCATCAGTGGCTACCGAACAAGAAAACAATGACACTTCATTAATCATGCCAGAGCTACTCTTAACTCAAGAAAATGTGAGTGGTGTTGGCCTGTGCCAAAATCACTAACTCAGCAAATGCATTCTGGGTGGTTACTACGGTATTGTAAGCGGTTGCTAAGCAGTTGCCAGTGTATTCTGGATGGTTTCTAAGGTGTTCTGGGTGGTGGGTGTTTTGTTTGGTATTTCTGAGCTGTTTCTTGGTATTCTAGGTGGTTGCCAGTTTGGTTGACATTGCTATGTGCTTGCTAAAGTGTTCTGGGAAGTCGCCTGGGTGTTATGTATTTCCTGGTGTGTTTGGAGTTGTTGCTAGGGTATTGCTAAATGGTTTCTGGAGTATTTTGGGTGGTTGTTATGTGATTGCATCTGCTCCTGTAACAGGAAAAGGACCTGCAATTCAGTTCCAAACTTTGTAAACTTAGAAAACCTTGAAAATTGATTCCTTTTTGGAGAATGTACTATAGATATACTATTCTGTATATATTCACAAAAATGCTACTGGGATGTTTAGAAATGTTTTGACTCTCAGAGAGCCTGGTAATCAGATTTAGAGTAAAACGTTCTGTAAAAGGTCAAAGAAGTTGCTTTCTACAGTTGAAAAACACACACACACACAAAGCTCTTATGACTCTGGTAAACCTATGCAGTAAGCACATGATTATGTTTCTGTTTTGAATCCTGATAACAAAAGGATCAGAGTTTGCGTTTCTTCCAAAGCAGCTCGACATCTGTAGTTACTAAAGCGAAACCCTATCAAATGTGTTGGCGAAGGATGGTGCCAACAGATGCTTCACATAAAATGGAACCGAAATGATGATGACATTATGTTACAATGTCATTGTGTTACAAATTTGCTCCATGTGATAGAACCGGGGGAGAAGAGGGGAATTACAGTCTGTAAACAAGCCAAGACAGCAGGACTCTGGAATTGTCTCGGCAGGAGGGCCTGTGGAACAGCCGTCTTCCATTTCCACCCCGAAACCTCTGATAGAACATATTAGAACCAGACTGGATGAGGATGGGCTGTGCACACCTCTCTCGTATGAGAGTATTTCTTCAACTAATGTCATTTCCATCACATCTCATATGATGTATTGCGTCTAATAACATTCTGTGGTGGAAATGACATCTAAAATATTTTTTGTATAAAATGACCAACTCCATGGAGTGCAGTCTTACTAAGGCTAATTTCATAACTAGCATTGTGTCCATCTTAAATACACAGAAATAAATCATATTTCCACACTTTTTTTATAGTTTAAAAAGAAATTATAGTTTTATTTGGAACTATTCATAATTATAATGATATTTATCTTGATTTTTTTGTTTATTTCATCTCAGGTTCTTCACTGATATTGTTGTGTCCTTGGTGAGCATGTATACTAACTGTGGGAGTCATAATTTGTGTAAAAAAAATCCAATGTTTTTTTGTTTTTTGTTTTTTTTGGAAAAAAAAATTTGAAATACAATTTTCTAATTAAATATAATTTAAATATGTTTAAATGTAAATAAATTGTATGATGGATTGAGCTCAATAACATTGAAAATCTGAGTCAAGGACAAAGATAAAAAAAATAATAATAATAATTATGGAGCCATGGTAAATAATTTCCAATACAGCTATACTGTGATCCTCATATAAAAAAATAAAAGAGAGAAAGAAAGAAAAAGAAAAATAAAGTCTTGTTAGTTTTCATAAAAATCACCTTTTCAGACATAAAAGTGGCCGAAGTTAAAGAAACACACAAACAAATATTACCAACCAGCTGTAGTACTTTAGATAGATAATTAGACAGAATACAATAAACAAAAGGCTTTTATTGGAGCTAAATTATAATACAATTATTTTTACAAAATATTTACACAGTAAATTGATCATTAAAAACAATAACAAGAGAAAGAATTGATTACATGACAAACATTATAATAACAGTGAATGAGAAGTGTACAGTTTCCTTTGATTAAAAGCCATTATTATCATGCTATAAGGATTATATTCCTCAGTAGCCACAATATGAAAAAAGTTTAATTAGATAGCACATAAACAGCAACAGTGACCTGCACTGTAAAATATACATTATCTCTATTGAAAAACAGGTCTTCATAAGTCCTTTACAGACTCAGCCTAAATGGATGTTCACACCGACAACCATTGCCAAAGGTCAGTTGTGTCAAGTCAAATTGCCATTTCTCATTAACAATGACTCAAAGTCAGTGTGACCAGCCCTAAATGCTGAAAGTACAGCATCATTGTGTTCAGCTTCAAACAAAATTAAAAATGTTCAGCTATCTCTACAAAGTTCAGTAAAAAAATAGGTAAGTTAATCTTGCTCTGAGAACGAATTGTTGTTCGTTTCTAGGATGCTTTGATATTTCCAAGTTTTTGTCACCTACATTTGAACCAAAAGTGCCTCTGAACTAAAACAACCTCATGTAAGTAGATTTGAGCACTGAGATTTTGAGATTTTGAGATTTTTGAGGCATTAAAGGAATGTTCCGGATTTAATAAACATTCTATCAACAGCATCTGTGAAACACTGTCAAATAGTCAAAACTGTAAAAACAGTTATTTCAGCTAGAACAGTATTCCCACTACTAAAAGAACAATTTAGCAAACTTTACGACTCACATAGCACATTTTTATGGAAGAATTACTATTAGGGATGCACCGATGCCACTTTTTCCAGTACTCGCCCGATACCGATGCTTTTTTTTTTTTTGGTACTTGCCTATACCGAGTACCGATACCAATATTTTTATTGTACATTTTTTAAATATTGGGTACAGAAACCAAAAGAGTATGTATAATGTTAGTTGGTTAACTTCGTTTATCAAATTGATACAGTCAAACCAAAATTTATTCAAGCTTTTTGCTTTAAATTACTTGCCTCATAGACTTCCATTGTAAGTGCATTATGGTTAATGCAATTTTTGCTTGTGTTTAAAGACTAAATTATCTTCTGTGGTATTCAACAGCATGTCACTAATAGCACAATATGGTGTTTCTCAAAAAGAATGTCTATTATGTTTTCCAAACACTATCAATACTGCCAAAAATATACAAATAATAAATAATCAAATACACAAAATATTTTAAGGCCAGAATTTCCTGCTTTTCCTGAGAAATGAGAGTCATTGTTTTGCAGATGAGAAGATCCAGCAACAGTCATTCAGTATATGGTTAAGTGGCACAGATGTAGCATCTTGAGTCACTGAGTAGATAAACAGTATCTACTTGAAACCACAGAAAAATGTTTGATCCAGTGGTCAGATTGTACAGAGACTGTACATCTGACACTTTACCTGATATAAACAAAAATACTAGAACTAGACGGGTTCAAAGTTAAACGTGGAAACTGCCTGCGGGACAAAGATCAGCAATACATTTGGGATAAATTACATCTAGTTGTACCCATGACTCATCGATACAGGGCTGCAGAACAACCGAAGAAATCCATGCCAATATATCGTGGGTATCCCTCCAGCACCCTCACTTCCACTGGGTCGAACTTCCAGTACTGCTTCCCTCTCAAGAAATGGGCGAAGCCTGTGGAGAAATAAAGAAAGATAGAAAGAAACATTCAATGACTTTTTAAACTCCCTCCATCAAGAATAACTGTTGTAGTTTCAAAAACATGCAAGAAATAATGTCTCAGCGACAACTGTACCGAATCGGTCGAGGAAAGCAGCGTCAATGTCATCCGGTATGCCCCTCCAGTCCCTCATGCTCCGAGGATGGACTGAGTCTACATGGTTTTCCTTCAGGTTAAATCGCCAGTAGCTTCCTTTTTTGAAGAAGTAGATCTTCTGGGCCTTGTCTTCTCCCCACATGAGGGCTGCCTGAATGTCATTCACTGTTAGACCCAGTCGCCGTACAGAGTCTGGCCCTGTGATCTGCCGCTCTGCATCAAAAACCCAGTAACTCTGGCCTACAGAGAGAATGGTGGGTGAGAGGTTATATTAAATCACGGTTTATGAATTTTCCATTCATCATGAACCCCTGTTTTAGTTTTCAGTTTACTGGATAATTAGGCCACCAAAAGACATCTGGATTATAAATATATACATGTTCTAATGATAGTTGAAATGTGCTTTTGGAATTGCAGGATTTCTATATTTAGGATATTTAAGGAACATTAAAGAAATGTCATGGGTACATGACAGCATCTATGATATAAAAAATAAGCTAAAATAATGTAAAAACAAATAAGTATGTATGTGTGTGTGTATATATGTATTTATGTGTGTGTGTGTACATATATATATATATATATACTGTATATATATATACACACACATACATACTTAGTTGTTTTTACATTATATTATAAAGAATACTCTTATTCAGCAAGGACACATTCATTTTATCAAAAGCGACAATAAAGATAAAGATATACTGAACAAAATTATAAACGCAACACTTTTGTTTTTGCCCCCATTTTTCTTAGATCTTTGAGTTCAGCTCATGAAAAATGGGGGCAAAAACAAAAGTGTTGCGTTTATAATTTTGTTCAGTGTGTATATATATATATATATTTATTGTTACAAAAGGTTTCTATTTCAAATAAATACTGTTCTTTTGAAAAAAACATTAAGCAGTAAAACTGTTTTCAACATTCATGATAATAATTATTTCTTGAGCAACAAATCAAGATATATAGAATGATTTCTGACCATTCATGTGACACTAAAGACCGAAGTTATGTCTCTAAAACATTTAGTTTTGCCATCATAGGATTAAAATACATTTGAAAATAAATTAAAATAGAAAAAAATTCAATTGTAATAATATTTCAGAATATTATTGTTTTACTGTATTTTTATCAAATAAATGCAGCCTTGGTGAAAAACAGTAAAAATTTAAAAAATCTTGCAGACTCAAATAATTTGAACGGTAGTGTACATCTTAATTATTTTGAGACAGTTTACCTTGGAAGAACCAGATATTTCCAGATTTGTCCTCAAAAGCAGCATCAATGTCTCCTGGGATTCCTCTCCAGTGCCTGGATGCCAATGCAGGATATCCAGTCTGGAGTTTACCATCACGGATCCGCCATACATAACCCGACTTAAAGAAAAACAGCTCACCTCGGATCATAGATACAGCATCAAAGTCAGTTTGGCAAGCATCAGGCTGGAAAGATGGGCAACAAGAAGAAAAAAGAGAATAAGAAGGATAAAGAAGAATCAGATTCCCAAGATCAGATCAGCCATATATCTCACCACTGTGGTTTCTATCTCATTGGTTTCTGTGATTTTGGGAGTTCTCTCCTCCGTCTTTACTTTATCATCAGTGTGTTTGGCGCCATACAAAGACTGTATGCCTTGCTTGTCATCTTCACTCAGTTTGAGCGGGTAGGAGAAAGTGTAGAAAGGCGACATCACTGCGCCTGTTGCCATGGAGTGCTGCAATCCTAAAACATGACCAATCTCATGAGCTGCCACCTGGAGGAGGTCAGTACCTAGTAGAAAGCAAGAGGATTAAACAAAGGGGTTTTAAAATTAAATATAAAACCTAATAGTGTGGTATGCAGTCCATGCATCGTATATTTATTTGGAAATCCATTTGTACATAATAAAACAATAAACAAAAAAATTCCTGCAAGTTGCAAAGTTACACCAACCATTCTCTCAACCAATTCATTAAAAACACTGATTCATTCAGGTACAAAACAAGGGACTGGCTTTATGTTTGAGTTTTGAATAATTCAAAAAATAATAATTAATTCAAAAAATTGATCCATTCAGGGACAAAAGACCACTGCAGTATGTTGCTTGGAGATTTACAAATGCTGATTTTGCTTTAACTTCATTTGTAAGTATTTTAGTTGGCACAGCAAAAATGGACAAAATAACTGACAATAATTAAAATGTGAAATATAATATTTAAAAAGCTAAAGTTATTCAGTCTTCCTTTTGTTGAACACTCGTGTATATAGCAATACTGTATATTACTTGCAGATGTGTGTGAATATAAGCATAATCTGAACAACAGCGTTTGTGTTATATTGCTTATTTATAAGTACTAGTTTAACTAAATTTGACCAACTAATTTAGAAGCAATTTATATTGCTTATATCTCTTATTGTATCGCTTTTTCTTGCAATTGTGAGGTGTAAATTCATCATGAGATTATTGAGAAAAAAAAGTCAGAATTGAGAGATAAAAAGTCACAATTACCTTTTTTATTAATTTTGTTTCTGTGGAGGATAATTGTGCAATGTAAACTGAGAATTTCAAGGAAAAAAGTCAGAATTGTGAGATGTAAACTCACAATTACTTGCAACTGCAGGATAAAAACTGTGAGATATAAACTTGCAATTGTGAGTAAAAAAAAATCTGAATTGTAGCTAAAAAAAAATCACACCAAATGAACCGGGTCCTCACTCACCCATACTGTTGCCCACTGTCCAAGATTCATCGTAGTCAAAGTGAATGTCTCCCTCCCGGTAAGTTCGGGGAAAGAAGGCATGAGCCAGAATTCCTCCTGGGCCATCAAAAGGAAGATTGTCTCCATGCCAGTACCTGTATGTGAAACAATCTCTCAGACGACAGCACAACACCAATGATTCCCGTTCTCTTATTTCATCAACATGCCTGATGAACTGATCATGCAAATAATTTTATAAGCACACTTCATTACATAGAATGATTAAACGAGGGTGAGAATAATAATCTAAACAGAGACATTGCTGTTACTGCCATGCAACCGTAAACCATTATAGCCTACTGTAACTGTCACACCTCAGTAACTTTCCTGATTCTCTTGTTTTTAATGGAATGCCAAATTCCACCCTGGCTGAATGGCACTGAATAAACTGAACCCCAAATTTTCCATTGTGAAATGTTGAGAGGTTAATTTACACACAAAGCCCTCAGGATTATAGATCTTTAAGCCTGGCAGACCTGAGGGTGAAAAAAAAAACCATAAATGTCCGGTCCACTGTTATCCCATTGATGGAATCTCGGATTGAGTCAGAACAAATGAAACTGACATGCCTAGAGCCCCACACTTCACTGAACTGACTTCCAGATGTTTCCCTTAATGCCAGATGGATCTAGATATTTCCCTCTGCTTTGAAGAAAAGCGGTATCCCTCATTAGAGCTTCATAGGAGCGTATCTCAAAAACACAATAACTGTACATTAGCGCTTTAACAGGAAGCCAAGTTTTCAGAAGAACTTACATTTTCAAACAGAAAATGAAGAGGGAAAAAAACACTGGTTTGAGCAAAATTTCCTGTTGAAAGAGACATGACATTTATATGGGTCTGGTGTGACACGTATCATGCACTTTTCTCCATGAAGACATTTAGAGGACCTGCTTCATCATTTTGAGTTTCATGTTTTTGTGAAAATGGCCTCTAAACATTTTAAACACTAAACATTCTAAACAAATTTCCTCCACAAACAATGTGCAAAATGATAGAGCGCGTCACATGTTCAGTGGCGGGAAAAAAACTCAAACAGCGTTTTATAGTAATAATGTACTACCACAAAAGTCATGCTTTTCAACATTAAGGTTAGTTTTTCAAAAAGAAAAGGATTTTGAGCCACAGTGTTGCATGTCCATATGTACTAAACCACACAGGTGTTCTGGGTTATGACTTTTCTTACTATGGGAATTTAAGAAGTAGCACACGTGCATGAATGGACGTGCAGTGTACATTTTAGTCCTATAATCCTAAACCGACACCCTCTCTAATCTCCAGCTTCTAAAGGAGATGAAAAGCGTCTGTGTTTGACTAGTGAAGTGGAAACTTTGTGTCAATGAACACACATCTCTCAACTGACAATATGGTGTTGGGTGGTTGACATATAAGCCTGAAAACATTTTTTTTTAAACTTCAAATATTAGGCATAAAAAATATTGAGCTGTGTTGTACTGACTCTTGAATTTCCCAAAAAATATGTGGTCTTTTAGATTTTGTATTGGAAATTGGATTTATTTACCAATTTGTTGCATTTGTGCCTAAAATTGTCATATGGTGTGACATAAAAGTTATTCTATATAAAATGAAATTGGGATATACTCTCCCTAAGTAACTAGCTATGGTATGCTGTAATAATATCTTGTCAGAGGAACAACATAAAGATTTAAATTTTTAACAAATACCCATTTTTATTAGTATATGACATGGACAGGTAGAACTGCATGTCATGTCATCCACCCTGTTACAAACTCAGTCAAATGAGAGGCCAGAAAAAAGTATTTCATCGATAATATACAGAATATAAAAGACCAGTCAAAGGCCTATAAAACATACTGTAACTTTTAGAACTTTTTTCTTCCAAATCCAAAAAGATCATATAGGCTAAGACTATTATTGAAATTAATTTGCAAATACAACTCATTCATAAATCTTTGTGTTTCATAAACCTACAAAGTCATTACATATGCAAAGATGTTAGCCAATCACAACAGAGTACATTTATATAGTCCTAAAGGTTCAATAGAAAAAGCATCAAATAGGGTGAAAAATGGCCATGCATGACTTTTTGATGGAAGAAAGAAACCTTGACTAACATTATGGGCCCTATTTTAACGATCTAAGCGCATGGTCTAAAGCGCACGGCGCAGGTGCACTTAGGGCGTGTCCAAATACGCTTTTGCTAGTTTAACAAAGGGAAAAACGGTCGAGGCGCCCGGCGCATGGTCTAAAAGGGTTGTCCCTATTCTCTTAATGAGTAATGGGTGTGTTTTGGGCATAACGTGCAATAAACCAATCAGAGTCTCGTCTCCTATTCCCTTTAAGTTGCCCAGTTGCGCTCGTGCCATGGCGGATTTGCTATTTACACAGCAGAATTTGCAAGCGCAAAGACAGAACGCGTCTCCAGAGATGAAACGGAGCTACTCGTGCGCGAGCAAATACGTAGACTAATTCTGATACATGCAATGACTATCCATTATGACATGTAGGCATTTTTATATTCATGTAGCCTACACAATAATAATCTTTTACATTGCAATCCTTTAATTTTTAATATTTGGCATGTTTGTGTGGTGCTGTGCGGCCCTGTGTGTGTAATAAGCAGAGTGTATGCTCGCTGTGGACCCTCCTATACTAACTAGCTCTTTAAATAACAAAAAAACTACTGCGCCATTGACTTTACACCAGGTTTTTGTTGGTCAATGGCGCAGTCTATTTCAGTCGCCTCAAAATAGCCACGCACCAGCAATGCACCTGAACATTTTTCAGACCAGCACACCCATGAGCGCACAAATGGGCGCAAATGCATTTGCTATTTAAACAACATGGCGGAGGACGTGAAAATGACAACTGTTTCGGGCTGAAACTAGCAGAAAACACTTGCGTCGCGCCTGGCGCCGCATTGCGCCAGGTGTATGATAGGGCCCTATAACTGGACCTCAACTGGAGTGAAAAACATAAAATGATAAAATGTACGTTATGACCCCTTTCAAACATAAACACAGAAAGGTCTTCATGGATTCTGACACAGCAAACAGTGAAAACATCTACATTTTTTACCTGTTAAAGTCAATCATGATATCCGCCCGGCCACTGGTGACCTCAGTAAAGGTGAGAGGGGTGACGTCACTCCAGACCCGCAGTGCCTCTTTCAGCACATGTCTGACTTTCTCTAAATTCATCTGCCAAGGGGTCCGCAAGATCCTGTAACACGAGCACAAACACTCATTACAGACCACCCATGTGATTTTCATTTGGTCTCTAGTGCATTACCCCAATAATCCCCTTTATTTGAACATGTTTGCTACCCGTCTTGGTGGTGAACCAAGGGACTGAATCAGAATCTGACTGTTGTGAAAAGACAAGCAAAGTCTGAATGTTTGCCTAGTTATGGATTAGGCACGGTACTCAATACTACTATGCTTTCTGACCATAATAACTGAACACTTGATACTTGATATTGTGACAGTGATGGCACCCCTATCTGGGTTCCTTTAAGTGCATAGAAGCCTTATAAAAATGCATAGCATCAAATTTCAAGACTCTTTTGTTACTTGTCATTTAGCATGATCTTAATCCAAAACTATTCACAACACACCGCAGTAGTGACAATTTTAGAGGCTTTAAAGGGATAGTCCACCCAAAAATGAAAGCTCTGTCATCATCCACTCACCTTCATGTCATTTCAAATCTGTATGACTTTCGATCTTCCATGAAATACAAAATAAAATATTTTGGAAAGTGTTGGTAACTAAACACTTTTTGTTTCCATTGACTCCTATTGTATGAACTATTATTCCATTGTATGAACTAACCGTTACTCAAAATATCATCCTTTGTGTAAATGTGACCCTGGCTGGACCATAAAACCAGTCTTAAGTTGCTGGGGTATATTTGTAGCAATAGCCAAAAATACATTGTATGGGTCAAAATTATTGATTTTTCTTTTATGCCAAAAATCATTAGGATATTAAGTAAAGATCACGTTCCATGAAGATATTTTGCAAATTTCATACTGTAAATATATTAAAACTTAATTTTTGATTAGTAATATGCATTGCTAAGAACTTAATTTGGACAACTTTAAAAGCAATTTTCTCAATATTTTGATTTTTTTGCACCCTTTTTTTGATTTTCAAATAGATGTATCTCGGTCAAATATTGTCCTATCTTAACAAACCATACATCAATGAAAAGCTTATTTGTTCAGCTTTCAGATGATATATAAATCTTAGTTTTGGAAAATTTACCCTTATGACTGGTTTTGTGGTTCAGGGTCACAAATGATAGCAGAACGGAGTAATTGATTTTTAGGTGGACTATCCCTTTAATGGCATTCTTCTTAGGTTGAATGTTTCTTGAATTAGATCTTTTCTGATCCAAGGTTTACTATCACACCACCTTTGATTCCTCCCAAAAACTAACCATAAGGAAACTCCAACTGCTCTTTCTATTCTAAATCAGCAGTTTATCCATTTTGAATGCTGTTTGTAAATTATAATGCTACTCATAGAATGAGCCCACAGGTTTTAACTTCTCTCAGATGAAAGACGAGCTACATTAAGCTTGCTGAGTGATGAAGGCATGCATGCTTATTTTCACAAGCAGAATCCCCACCAAGCACATTTAAACTGGTGGACCACAAATCTGTATCACGTTCCACAAAAAAAAAAAAATACTAATAAAATGTCTTAAAGCTCCCAGCATGCAGCTATAGTGACTGGTACATCTGTGTTGTTTTCATGCTTGAACACCTTCATGCTGTGGTCATTATTGGCTCTGTGGGATGGGGATCGCTTTGGGGCTGCATGTTGGAGCCACAAACCGTCTGAGATTGTGGGGCCTCTGCAGTCTGCAAGCCCAGACAGGAGCTATGACAGCGGGAGAGCCCAGTGTGGTAGTCTGTGTCTTTAAACATTGTCCTTATTCGCTGCTCCAATTAGAGAATTCCTCCCTATTTGCTCATCTAGGACTACGGCTACTACCACAAAATAATAGATAAAATGTAAACCAGGTTTAGATTAGTGACTTTTAAAGTGCTAATACAGCAGCCCCAAAAAGGTTTTAGACACTTATAGGTCAGGGGTTTCCAAACTAGGCTCTAGGGACTCCCAGGGGACCACAAGAGGCATGTTTGGGGTTTGTGGAAAAATTAGAAAATTAAAAACATCATTAAAAATGCTTTAAAAAATGAAAAAATAAATCATCTAATAATTTGCTATTTATTTAATTTTGCAAACAACATATCTTTAAAGTATCACACTTTTTCCTCACACATTATAAGCCTTTATACATGATAATATGCACTACCATTTAAAGGTTTGCACCCAGTAGGATTTAGTTTTTTTTTTTTTTATAAAATGAATACTTTTGTTCAGCAAGAATGCATTAAATTGATCAAAAGTGACCGTAAAGACATTTGTAATGTTATAAACGACTATTTCAAATAGTGTTATTTTGAACTTTCTGTGTGTCAAACAATCGTGAAAAAATGGATCACGGTTTCCACAAAAATGTTAAGCACCAAATCAGAATATTCGAAATGATTTCTGAAGGATCATGTGATGTGGAAGACTGCAGTAATGGCTAAAAATTCAGCTTTGCCGACACAAGAATAAATTAAATTTTTTATATATTCAAATAGGAAACAGTTATTTTAAATTATAACTAACTAATTTTATTATTTCACAGTATTGCTGTTTTTACTGTATTTTTGATCAAATAAATGCAGCCTTGGTGAGCACGAGAGGCCTCTTTTAAACAATAAAAAGCCTTTACAACCACAAACTTTTGAAGTTAAAAATTTAAATGTATTTGGGGGTCCTAGCAAGTGGCTTCTTTTCTCTACATTTTTTTTTTTTTCAGCAGTAACTTCTAACTATCTGGTCCTGTGGTGACTTTTGTGGATATGATGAACTTGGATGAACTTGAGTGCACAGATGCCATTCATCATGTTTCACTGAAGGTGCACTCACACTTGACTTTAAGCATGCAAAATGACAAAAAATCCACTGCACACATGTGACAAAAACACATACTCTGGCTAGATTTACTCAAGTAACTAAAATGACAGTACAGTAGGGGTAGGATGGGGGGTTTGGTGTTTTTGAGATCATTTTGCACATGTACAGTCCATCATTAAGTGAGGGGACAGATTACAGAGGACAGCGAGGTGCTATAGCCTTCAGAGACGTGAGTCATGACAGCTCACAGTGGCACAGCATTAGAATGCTGCTGACTGGGGTTTGCTGGGGATAAAGTATGTTCATGTGTTGCTGTCTTGACATCAGATTCTGATGAGGCAGCACTTAGTATACAAATTGTACAATGATTTCAGAAGGTTGAATTTTTTTAACAGTTACCTGTCGTCATCTGAGACTAAAAAAAGTATTGCTATAAACTTTTGTTATTAGTAAATGTACAGTACATTTATTAATTACAAGAGATGGATCAATATTAAAGTTCAACATTCTTCAATTCTTCATTTTCACCTTAAGTGAAACAGAAAAAAAACAACAGAATAATATGGCACATATGAATGCACAATTAAATATTTATATATAAATATATATAATTTATATGATATTTTTATGATATTTTATGGGGATATAAAGGGTTCAGATCCCCCTAAACTTCCCATGATTTGCAAAAGAAAAGAAAATGTTTCTGTTTTGACTTCTATCTTTATAGTATATGCAGACACAAAGTCAAGTCTGCCCTACAGCAATGTGGCTTGATTCAGATGGAGAACCATGGGAGATTTATAGGCTGTGATATTTTATGGGAAGGGCCATAAATCAAGGGACAGTTTTAATCAGTGGTTGTACGGCTGGTTTTCTTTGTCTGGATCCTCATCTCACCCCCCGCTGAGCACTGAAGAGAAAACTAGAACCATTTGGGCTCCGTGCACATAACACACATGAGCGCTCTGAAATGTAACATCTCCTGGTCGGGTCGTGACCTCACTGACTTCAGATTACAGAGAGTCTTATGTCCGGTGGGAACCGTCTTTGACAAAGATGTATGAGGCAAATCAGTCAAAACATGAAGTGGTGACCAGACAGCAACAATAGTAAGGCCAAAATGTCAAGCAAAGGGCTTCTTAAAGGGATAGTTCACCCAAAAATGAAAATTCTGTCATCATTTACTCACTTTCACGTTGTTCCAAACTGCGTAACACAAAAGAGGATATTTTGAAAAAAGTCATTGAGGTCAATTGATGGAAGTCAACTGATTTTCATTGTGTTTAAAAAAAACAAACCCTGAGACATTTTCAAAATATGTTCTTTACTGCCGAAGAAAAGAAAGTTGTACAGTTTGGAACGAAGAGGGTAGGTATATGATGGCATAATTTCATTTTGGGTGAACTATCCCTTTACAAACCAATGAAATTCAGGTCGACTTGAAGTAGCGACTGTGTGTGTTTAAGAAAATGATTTACTGTTTTAAATCAAAGGGGGCTTGATACATATTTTTATCTGTGTTTTGGAGCCCTGCAGTCCCGGGTCTGGGACAGTTTACTGCTTCTAATTAAGTGGGTGTAATAGTGGAAAGAGTGGGTGGTCTTCCTTAGAACCGATAACAGCTTTAAGAAATATGAAAAGATAAAGAATTAAACATTAGAAACTAGTATTTCCTGTGTGGGCTGGGAAATAGTGTATTTCTAAGGTAAAAGGGGGAAGAGGAACTGCACAGGTTTCATTTAAGCACAGTCTTTAATAAGAAAAAACCCTTAATGTATAGATTTAGTCAAACGTGTGTTGACTAGGAGGAAGGATATACCAAAAATAAGCTATATCATTGCCTCAGTGTGGCTTTTTTTGTGTAAGGCTCAAAATAGTACCTTGGCAATATATCAAAGTCATTTTCTCCCATTTACGCTTTTATGTTTAATTCATTTTATGTCTCTCATTCCAAAACACAGCAACTAGATACAACCGCAACAGCTATCCATGCAAGTCTTACTTGTATGTGAGGTCTGTTTTGTCCCAGCGTCCTCCGAACAAATCAAAGCGTTTTCGGCGATTACGGCCTCCAAGCAAGCCTCCTTTGTGGGTTAAGTAATTAAGGACGCTCCCTTCCTTCTGTGAGGGGTAGTCTGGGACTCCACAGCGAGGTCTGTTCCAGAACTCTGTGTCATTCTTTGGAAGAGTTGAGTGTGGATGCACACTTTTATTGCCAGAGTCTTCACTCAGTGTATCCTGAACATGATGAAATCGTCCCCTCTTCTTCAGGCCATGGTGATGGGTCTTTTGAGGCCAGTCCTGTCAACACACACATAAGCTGTCAATCGAATGTATATTTGCACTTAATTTATAGATGCTACACCATTAAAATGGGTTTGTTTGGTGGCTAAGGTGTTGTTGTGTTTTAGTGTATTGTTATTCGTTTGCTAGGGTATTCTGGCTGGTTCCCAGGGCGTTGCTAGGTCATTGCTAAGATGTTCTGGGTGGTTTCTAAGGTGATGCTAGCAGTGTTGTTATTGTTCATTAAAACCAGAACTATTCAAAATAAAATGCAATAAAATATCAAAATGAACATATGAAAGCTATATAAAATAAAAATGAAATATATAATAAAATGTAAATAGATGAAAAAACATAAACAAATTAGGAACGTTGCCTTGGCAACTAACTGCAACTAAACTAAGTGAAATAAACTAAGTTTAAGTAAATTACTAAAATTCTAAGTGAAATTAAAAAATTAACTAAAGCTAAATAGAAAAACTAATCAAATGTCAAAATCACAAAACACAATTACTAAAACTTAAACTAAAATTAAAATGTAACTAAAATATACACACAAAAAATAAAATGTAAAATTAAAAATTAAAAATATAAACTTTAACTAAAATACAAAGATAACAGCTAATTCAAAATATTATTAAATGCTGCTATAATAGTATACTGTAAATAATATTAAAATAACACAGGGCTAGGGTTTATAAGGCAATGCTAGCAGTGTTTTTATTGTTAACTAAAACTATTACAAATTTTGTTTTGTTTATTGAAATAAAACTTAAATAAAATATAAATGTTATATGAAAAACATAAATAAATGTAAACGAAAATTAGAAATGTTGCCTGGCAACTAGCAGAAATAAAATAAGTTTAGGTTGAAGTACTGAAAAAACTGAATTAAAAATAAATGAAAGTTAAATAGAAATATAAAAAATATATATAAAAATTTAACAAAATTAAAAACTCGCAAACTAAAATGAAAAGGTAACTAAATAGAAACTTAAATAAACTAAAAATTCTAAATATGAACAAACTAAAGTATAAAAATAAAAGCTAATGTGAAATATGAATAAATGCTATGATAGTATATAATTAATGCTTAAATAACACTAGATTCTATATGGTTTCTAGGGCAATGCTAGCTGGTTGCTAGGGTGTTCTGGCTGGACAAACAGTAAGGTGAAGGTGTAAATAAGGCCTTGCTGGGAGCAAAATTAGCAGTATTATAGTTGTGCAACAGTTGGTCTTAAGTCATTGATAATTTGCCAGAAGCTTTATCACAGTCAATTTCCTCACCCAAATTTCAAGGAAATGGTTCTGTTAATGGGCTGGGAGGTTAGCTGCCTGGAGGGGAAAGTCAGATTGTCCCTATTTCTCTCCTTCCCAAACCAATTCTGTACTCCAGCTGTGCAGGTTTAGAAACCTCTTTATCACTCTCTTTCCTTCTCTATACCCCCTTCTTTCTCTCTAATTTGTGCTTGGTTAAGAGGCCAGGGGTGGTATGGGGTGAACTATTTCTTTTAAATGCATTTAAAAATCATTCCGCCACTCGTAGCCATAAGGAGTCTTTTTAAAAGCTGTAATTTAAGCACAAGCTATATGTAGACAACCATAAAACATTTAGAAATATAAAGCAGGAAGTCTGAAAAGAAAAAAGTCACTTGTGAAAAAGTTACTTTATCATTGAAAGCAGGTCCTATAGGACCAACTATGATGAAGATGTATAACAGACTAAAGCCAGTGGCTTTAGAGTGACTAAAAATGAGTGGCCATATTCTTGAGGTTTTGGACTTTTTTTTTTAGACAAACAGCAATTCTTGTGACCACAACAAAGGATGAGTGACATGACATTTTGTCAGTCTCATTGGTTCAAAATCAAGCTCCACATAATATAGTTATGTTTTTTTTTTTTTTTTTTTTTTTTTTTAGGATATTTCCGATTTTTGCAGATTCCAATTTTTTTTCCCAAA